AGAGACGAGTCAAGGATGAATCGGTGTTAGCAGAGGTCCAGGGGGACAGAGTCCAGGGTAATAGTGCAGGAGAAAGAGGGAACCCCTATTAGTGTTAACCCAGCCACAAAATTCTTTGGTCCCAGACATAATTACTACCTCCCATCCTTCTCCTGCTACTTGGCAATCCTGAGGGATATTGGAGACACTTCTCCATGGATTTTGGAGAGGAATTACTTCTGGTTTGTGAATTTTCTGAAGAAAGTAGTGTTTGAGCCAGTCATTTGAAGTTCATAAAGATTGTGAGAGCGCCCTAGCCGGTTTGGCTCAGTGGATAGAGCGTCGGCCTGCGGACTCAAGGGTCCCAGGTTTGATTCCGGTCAAGGGCACGTACCTTGGTTGTGGGCACGTCCCCAGTGGGGAGTGTGCAGGAGACAGCTGATCGATGTTTCTCTCTCATCGATGTTTCTAACTCTCTATCCCTCTCCCTTCCTCTCTGTAAAAAAATCAATAAAATATATTAAAAAAAAAAGATTGTGAGAGAGGTAGAAGTGGGAGAGGATGCTCTGAGCGTGTAAACCAAGACCTGGAGGTAAGAAATGGTGAAACTAAACATTGGCGTGTATAGAGATTAGACATGCTTCAAACAGCTGTCTGGGGAAGCCAGGCTTCTTTTTTGTGGTAGGCAGCTGGAGAGCCATGAGCAGTTCTTGAGTAAGGAAAAGAACATGATCAAATGAGTACTTTAGAATGAAGGGAAACTAGGGAGGAGGCTGTTGAAGTAACCCAAGAGAGAAAGAAGCTAAGGTAGTGGCAATGGGGAAGATGCAGAGGAGATGGATTTGAGAGGTGATTGGAAAGAAGAGAGGACCAGAGTTTCAGACTAAAAAGATAATGGGTGAGGGTCGGAGGTGGAGATGACTGAGGGTGGAGTTCACAGTAAGTTGTAGTGTTCAGAAACGGCAATGCATTCATCCTTTTGACAAATATTTATTGAGTCCCAGGCACTGTGCTGGGGATTAGGGATATAGCACCGAACAAAACAGATGGATGCCTGTCTTGATAGATCTTACAGTGGGTGAGACAGATAATTCATAAGTAAACAACTAAATATATAGTAGGCTGTGTCTGGTGCCACACCTATCTTGGGGAAGAATATCAGTGCAAAAGCCCTGAGGCAAGTGCGTTCATTATGTTTGAGAGACATTAGAGAGACCAGTATGATTGGAGAGTGAACAAGGAGCAAGAAGAGTAGAAAATGAGGTGGTAGGGGGCAGGTGATGTATTTATAGCTTTTGGGATCTATTTAGCAGGTAGAATAAACAAGATTTGGTCACTGGAATTGCTGAGGGAGCAGGAAGAATCTAGGGTGACTCCCAGGTGTGTTCTGGGCTTGGGCAAATGGATGAATGGTGGTGCCTTTGGCAAGGTGGGAAATGCAGGCGGATATGTTTGCAGTGGTAAGATGGTGAGTTAGAGGTGAGCTCTGAAGGCCCTAAGGGCCATTCTGGTGGAGCTTCCAGCAAACCTTAGGCAAGATGGGTCTGGGACCCAGGAGAGAGACCATGCTAGAGAGAGAGCAAGCTGCAGGGGTCCTCAGCGATACCTGATGTTATGCAATGGAATGAGATCAGTGACAGAGTGTGGAATGAAAGAGAAGAGCACCAGAGCAGAGCTGGGTAAGAGGTACTAACACATAAGGAATGGGGAGAGGAAGAAGAGCTGGGGTGGGCAGAGAAGTAGGAGGAAAACCAGCAGGGAGTGGGCTCACTGAAGCAGAGGAAGGAAAAAGCCCTCTGTGCACTGGAGGGGCTTGTTAAGAGTGGCAAATGTTACAGTTGGGGAAGTAAGATGAGGGTGGAAGAGAGTCTGTTGGCTTTAACCACTAGGAGGTCCTGGGCGACCTTACTAAGAGCAGTTTCCATGGCGTGGTGGGCGCATGAGGCAGATTGCAGTGGGTTGAAGAGCTTGTGGGAGGTACTGAAATGGAGATGGCCAGTGTAGACGAATTTCTCAAGAAGTTTAGCTGTGAAGAGGAGAGAGGGGCAGTAAGTGCTAGAGGGAGATGTGGGGGCAGATAGAGAGTTTTTTATTCCCAGATGGGAGAGACTTGAGCTTCTATAAATGTTGGTAGGAAGGAGGCACCGAGAGGGAGAGGTTGAAATACAGAAGGGAGAGGGGATGATTGCTGCGGAGGAGGTAGCAGGGGTGGGCTCCAGAGCCCAGGTGGAGGGACTGGCCTTAAATAGCATAGGGAAGGAAAGCAGAGGTGGTGGTGATAGTGGGGCGGGGGAATACAAGGGCATTGAGAGAATTGGTGAAAGAAATGCTTCAAGAAAGTTCAAAGCAATAAATGGAGATTCCTGGACAAGGACATGGATGCTAGAGCTAAGAGGAAGCAAATACTTTTGGTTGGGAGTCAGGGAGGGCTTCCTGTAGGAAGCAGCATTTGAGCTGGGCCATGAAGTTCAGATGGGATTTCAATAGGCAAAGATCTGGGCAGAAGGAAGAAATAGAATTAGCAAAGACATAGAGGCATGAAGAGGCTGGGCATACTGATGGAATCATGAACAAGCTAGTTGGATGAAGGCTGGGCAAGAGTGAGCAGGATAGCATTGATGTCACTGATAATGACAGTAATAATAAGTTACCATCATTATGGTAGTGCTTTACATACTTGAATTTATTTAATCCCACCAAGCCCTGCAGAATAGCTATTTCCTCATTTTGCAGACAAGGAAAATAAGTCCTAAAGAAGTGAAGAAATAGACCCAAATTCATCCAGCTAGAAGGTGGTGGGCTGATAATTAAAACTCAGGTCAGTCTGACTTTAAAGCCTGAGCAATGGGGAGCCAAGGTAGGTGTCTGAGCAGAAGGTGGGCTTTAGGAAGGCTAATGTGGTCCAAGAGGGTAGGAAGAAGAAATCAGGAAATGGCTGCAGTGTCAGGGTGAAGGGTAGCTGGGGTGTGGCCTGGATAGGAGGGAAGTGAGCAGAGGGCCTGGAAGATGATTTGTTCCTCATGACAGCCTTGAGAGATGTGGAGCCTGCTTCTCCTTTTATAGATGAGGAATGGGAGCCTCAGAAAGGGGGAGCTACGTGCTCAGGACTTGAGCCCTGGTTCATGTGATTCTGTTGACTCAGGGGCTCTGTGGAACAATGTGTCAGAGGGAATTCTGACTACAAGGAGGGTGTGTGTGCCTGCGTGCGCATGTGTGCATGTGAGCGTGCTGCGTGTGAGTGAGTGCGTGCCTGCGTGCGCATGCTTGTCTGTCTGTGAGATGGACAGCAGTGCCTTCCCTTGCCTATCCTCTTTCCTTCCCACCTCTTCCCAATCCTCCAATTTCCTGGATTCCATACCTACTGCCTCTCCCAAGCCAAGGGGTCCGGGAGTGGACTCTCCACAGATCAGGCTTTTCACTCCCAAGACCCTGGGTCTCACAGCCCCGGCCCCTAGCCTTCCTGTCTGTCCATCCACCCCTTAAAACTGTAGTGCAGCTCCAGTGACTGCCACATGCAGACTGGCCCCTGGGACCACTCCACAGTGCTCTCAGGACAGGCGTTTATTCCTGCAATGACTCCTCCCTGCCTCTGTGGCACTTCTGTGTGGGTGCAAATGGCCACCCTGGGAATTACATTCAGCTCATGAGCAGTGAACAACCACCACCACCACATCCCCATTGCTCTTCTTTGCCAGGCACTTGACTTATGTTCCAGTCCTTTCAGCAACGCAGTGGGGTTGGCCTATGAGCCCCGTTTTTTACAGATGAGAAAACTGAGGCTCCAAGAGGGGCGATAATATGCTTGGGGACAGTCTGGAAGCACTTGAAGAGCTAGCATTGCACCCAGGTCGGTTTGCATTCAATGCTGTGAGCTTTCCACATTCCATTTCTAAGCATCTCCCTAGTTTCCCAACTCTGAGCCTTCAGGAAATACAAATCTTGTCCTTCAGGGGCAGGGTGGATTTCTAGAGCTAGTGCCAAATTCATCAAAGGCCCTAGAGCAGGGGTGGGCAAACTTTTTGACTCTAGGGCCACAATGGGTTCTTAAACTGGACTGGAGGGCCCGGAACAAAAGCATGGATGGAGTGTTTGTGTGAACTAATACAAATTCAAAGTAAACATCATTACATAAAAGGGTACGGGTCTTTAGTTTGCCCACGGCTGCCCTAGAGGGATGAGTCTGAGGCTTAGAACTCTAGGTTTACATCCCTACTGTCTGACATCCTAACACTAACTCACATCCAGGTATGTGGCCTGGGGCAGGTAATCTACCCTCTCTGAGCTTCAATTCCCTTATCTCTAAAATGCAGAGTTGTTGCAAGGGGAGGTGGGGGGAGTTAAATGAGGTGAAGTACTGCAAAGTGCTCCAGAGGGCAACTTGCTCTATTTATATTCAAATAAAAGTTGGGTGCCAGTCTGGTCTGCATTGGAGTTTGTATACTCTTCCTAAAACCTGAGACTGAGCCCTAGAAGGGTGTGGCCAAGCACAGTGTCTGGCTGGCCTCCCCATTCTGACCCCCATCCTTGCCCCACCTCCCTGGTTCCAGCCCTTCATGTATCTCCCCTGCTCTGCAAACTAATGCCTCTGCCTCTCTCTGTCACCCGCCGCCTGTGGCCTCTACCCTGCCCTTCCTGGTCCCAGGGAAGAGGAGGAGGAGGAGACTGAGGAAGAGGAAGAGGAAGACGCTCATCAGTTCTGCTGTCCAGCCTCCGAGTGCAGCAGTCCCTCCTCTCGGTAACTGAGAGGACAAGGGCCATTTTCTATGCAGAAGCAAAAGCCTTAACCAGCCCCCATCCCCCCTCCCCGCATCCCCCATGGCACCCCATCCCTGCTTCAAGAACCAGATGGGCAAGCATAGTGCCCCTTCCCTCCCCCACCTCCTTCTTGGAATTTCTACCCCCACTGCTGTCTCCCCTGGACTCCAGCCCCCCGAATTATAAAGGCTGGAGCCTTAGATCTGACTAAAATGTGGGAGCAGCAGAGCTTGGAGCTTGGAACCCGGACCCTCCCGCACCTGCACCCCACTTCCCAGGCACCCTGGAGCCTGCCACTCCTGGAGAGGTCTCCAAATGACATCCCAAGGACCTACCTCTGTCCTCTGTGAGCACAAACAGAGATGCAGGGTGCCTAGGGCTCAGAGGACCAGACGGGGGCGGGCCCCGGACCTGCCGAGTTCCCCGTCGCTCTCCCTTGCTGTGGCCATTGCTGCCATCTCTTCCACTGCTTGAGGGCTTTGTTTCATGCCCCCTGCCACTCCCATAGTGCTCTGTAAATATGATCAGGAAGAAAAGGCCTTTCAGAGTGGGTGTTGCTGTGTACAAAGGAATTTCCATCAATAAAAGCTGATCTCTTCTCTCTGTCTGATGTATGTTCCACCCCACCCCTGCTTCCCTCTCCCTATCCTCACCAGGGCCTTACCTGCTTTCTTATCCAAGGCTGGGAACAGTGGCTGGGGGAGAGAATAGGGTTTAATTTGAGGTATTGTCAACACTGCAATCATGAATGAATGGTGTGGTGTTCTCATCACGTGCAAGCCTATTGCCTTCTCCAGCCCCTCAGCCTGAGAAAGAGTGAGCTGGCCAACTTGGATGTGTCACTTGGCCCCTCTGCTACCCAATTTCCTCATGTGTAAGAGGAGGAGAGAGGTTTGACCAGAGGATCTCCAAGGGCTTCTCCAGCTCTGATATTCTGTCAATCTGAGATGCCACAATTATAAGAAACTATGAATTGAAGATATGATCATTCAGTGATACATTTCATGCAATCCTGTAGTTTCTATTTCTACAGTAATTTTGGATTCTCCAATCTCCTGCGGTTTTAAAATTTCATGATTCTGACATTTCAAAAAATTTCTGATGGTGGGATTTAAATATTCTGAGCTGTTCAGAGTCCTTGATTCTGTACTTTAAAGATTTTGATTCTACAGTTTTAGGGATCTCTGGATCTGGGGGGAAGCCATTTCCCCCAGGATACAATGATCCTAAATGTTTCCTGCATCTGCCAGAAGCTGGTTGTAAGAATCCCTGGAGGCTGTCAGCAGGAGGATGAAAGGTGTCCTTTATGGGATATAGGACCCACATCTTCTATCATGTGTGTATGTTTGGAGCAAATCCAGGAGATCCCCAAGTGGGCACATACCCCAAGACTTTCCCTTTCTGTGCCTTTGGCAGTAGATGAATCTGAGTTTACCTCTGGTTCTGCTGCTTATTCTCTGTGTAAACTGGAGCAAGGATTTTCTTCTTGTGCTTCATTTTCCTCCTGAGTACAGTGAGAATATACCTCTCTGGGTTGTCATGCAGATTAGCAAGAAAACACAAGGAGCCCAGCATGGGTCTGGTGCATGGTTGGGCAAGTGTGCAGTGATTGGTGGCTCTTGTTTTGATTAAGGCTCAGGTGAGAATCCCTCCTCTCCTTTCTTTCCTCCTTCCCTTCAGCATCTCGAACACATTGATCCCATAGTTTTTCCAGAGCCTTACCTCATTCTCTCACTCATTGCTTCACTCAGTCTCTCAACTCATCTACTCATTTATTCATTCATACTCTCATTTATTTCTTCCCCCCTCTCTTCCTCTCTCCCTTATTTATTCTTCCACCTATTGTGTGCAAGGCTTCAAGCTAAATACTGAGAGAGATCAAAAGACAGTAGCTGTGTTCTCCATAAGTTCTCTATCACCCAGAGTAGATGAAAAATCTTTTGGGAAAATAGGCAGGCTGTGAAGGGTTGAAATGATTGAGCACATATGGCTTCAGTAATGAGCTAAATATGTTCTTGACCCAAAGAGGAGAGAGATGTCAAAGTGGGCGGAGGGTGGTGTCCGAGAGAGCTTGCTGGAGAAAGAGGGGCAAGAGTGGAAGGCTGTGAAGAGTTTGAATGGGTTTAGAGAGGTGAGAAGGCGTTACAGGAGAGAGAAACCGAATGGACAAAAGCCTGGTGGAGAGCTCTATCTAGGGTTGTGTTGGGGAATGGTGCGTAGATTGCTCTGTTTGACTGACTCTCCAGGGCATGTGGGCCTAGGTGACCCACATCTGGAAGTGGGAGAACATTTGATTGGATATAGAAGGAAATAAGGGGGCCAAGGGTCCAACTAAATGAAGAGAAGAGGCAAGTCAAGGTCAGATGGCCAGCGAGGGAGGTACGGTGTAGACTCATGTGGGCGACTGAATTGGCTGAGGTCCTGTGCTGTGGAAAGGGGGTAGATTTCTATCAGTTGTGATGGAAATGTGTGTGCCTATGCATATGTGTGCATGTCTTTGCATGAGGTGGCAGGTCTAACAGGAGCAAGAAATCTGAGGGAATGTGATTGTGTGAGGCTGTGTGTGAAGTTTTTTGTGTGAGGTGGCGACTTTCTGTGCCTGGTGGAGATAATCACAAGACTGGATGTGGGTGGCTTGCGCATAATGGGCTGTGGCTTCTAGAGGGATAGTCGTCAGGCAGTATGGTCACATGGACACACATGACTACCACCTGTGCTCTTAGGGTACCAAGGTGGCTGCTTGCTGTGTGCTGGACCCACAGAGGTGACTCACACAAGCCAGTGCCCTTAGGAAAGAGGAGCAGGGTGGGTGGTGGACATTTCAATAGATAACCACAAGTTAGCTGGAGATGAGGACCACTGTGACAGGAGTACACAGGATACAGGGGAGAGTAGCTGACCCTGTCAGGTACTGAGTCAGAACCAACTTCCCAGGAGGGCTCGCCTATGTGGGGTGCTGCAAGATGCAGATGAGCTTCCCCAGACCAATGGAGTCTGCAGGTAAAGGGGAGAGGGAAGGCACCCCTAGTGGAAGAAACCAAGGAAGAGCATGAGCACAGGTGTGGCAATGCCCATCAGCTCGATGCCTAAGAAATGCAGGTAGCCTGCTATTGCCTACTCTAGGAACTTAAAGGTTGGGGAGGGGGAGGCTGGACAGATTCAGCTGAAAAGCAAAAAAGGGGACTTGGTTTTTTTTGTGGTTATTTGTGTAACGTGGTTTCTTTCCCCTCATGCAGAGAAGGGGACTTGGATTCTCATCCTGTGTGAGCCTGGGCAAGTCACTTTGCATGTTGGGACCTCATTTTGCATCTGTGGGATTGTCAGGTTCATAAAGTCCATTCTAGTTCTGAGGATCTTCTACCCTCAACCAGCCCAACCCATGAGCCATTGCTTTCGCAGCTGGCACTTCTGCTTTCTCACCTCAGGCTTTCCTTGTTCCTTCTGGGTTGTTTCCTCACTCATGCACTCCACAAATATTTCCCAGCCTCTGGCCCTCTGCATGCCCCTGTGGGAAGGCAATGGAAGCTGGAAAATGCAGGACTCCATCTTGGAGGAGCTACTCAGTGCGTGGTAGTAATAGCAGGAGCCTTGATATGATTCCTGGCTCCACCACTGCTGAGCTTTGAGACTGTGAGTAAGCTCCTTCATCTCTCATTCCCTCAGTTTCCTCATCCGTGTTATCCCCTTCAGGAGAACAACCCAGACCTTGCAGGGTTGCTAGGCCTAGCAAAAAGTAGCTACTCAGTACATGACAACTCTTTTAGGGCTGCAAAGAAGCGGAGCTGGGATTCATACCCAAGTCTGTGTGCTTGCCAGCCCGTGTTTGCCACTCTCTATCCAGGCTTCCTTCTCCCCTGCCAGCCCCTGTGCCAAGCCAGGCTGGCCTCAGGTTTGGGATCTCTGTGTTGCTGGGATTGGACACACAGTTTGCAGAAGTCTTCGTCCAGAGACCGGTGCCCCTGGCCTCATCTAGGTGCACTGACCTCCTCATCTTGTTTTCTCGTCTCTCACTTCCGCGCCTCCCTCCTTCCAGCCCAAGTTGTCATGGGGATAGTCTTCAGCATCCCTGGCTTCCTCTTGCCCTCATCTTATGGTATCTATAGCAACAGCCCCCATTCATTTCCATGGCAACTGCATCCTGATCCCATCCCCTGCTGGCTGCCTGGCTCCGGGCAGTGCCAATAAAGGGAAGGAGGGAGAGAGACCTCCCATTCGGAGCAGCAACCCGGGAGGGTTGGCACTTCTGCCATGGGCAGGCTACCATGAATCCACACAGAACGTCCTTCCTCATTTCTCCCCATCTTAGTGCCTTGACTCACAAGGTCCTTCACTCCTCATCTCTATCACCTCCCCTTAGCCAAGGCCCCATTCAATAGCTTCCTCCCCCAGGAGGCCTTCAGGCAGCAGAGGAACTAACAGGGCTCTGGGCTTGGAGTCCCTGTTCTGTCACTTGCTGAGTGAGACCTTGGGCAGTAACTTCCGCGTTCAGAGCCTTTTTGCTCACATTCAGAATAGGGATCCGAATTCCTCCTTCACGTTTGCCTTGCAGATTAAATAATGTGCAGAAAATGCCTGACACAGGGAAGGTGCACCGTAAGTGCGAGTTTATTTTTATTCGCTCAGCCACCCCCAAGCAGAAGGAGTCTTTCTCCTGAGCTCCCCCAGCACTTCCTCTGTTCACCAGCCCTGAGAACTTTCAGCTTTGTACTGTGGTTATTTGTGTAATGTGGTTTCTTTCCCCTGATGCAGAAGATGCTTTCAGTTCCCCCACAGAATAGCCCAGCAGAGAGTGCACATGGAACACAGGTGTGTGTGTGTGTGTGTGTGTGTGTGTGAGAGAGAGAGAGAGAGAGAGAGAGAGTGAGTTTCCATCTGATCAGCCTGTCTGAGAGCAATGCCCCCAAGCATTGTCCTTTTTGCCAGGCCCTCTAGGGGGAGCCTGAGCCGACAGCCTGACCTCCCTGCCACTATTCTCTTTGCAACCAAAAGAGGGTGTGGAGCTCCCAAGGGGGTAATTGCCAGAGAGTGGAGAGTCAAGGGCAGCACCGAGCTAGAAGTGGGGAGAGACAGCGAGATGTCATGAAAAGACAGCCTGGGCACAGCCATTGTGGCTCAGAGGTTTAGCATCAACCTATGGATCAGGAGGTCATGTTCAATTCCCAGTCGGGGCACATGCCCAGGTTGTAGGGCATGCAAGAGGCAGCTGGTAGATGATTCTCTCTCATCATTGTTTCTATGCCTCTTTCTCTTCCTCTCTCTGAAATTAAAAAAAAAAGAGTCTGGGCCCTAGATTTGCATCCTTTCTCACTTAATAGCTGTGTGACCTTGAACCCATTTACATTACCTCTGAGCCTCAGTGTCCTCATCTATAAAATGGTGCCTGCCTCAGTAAGTTATGAGGCTTCAATGCACTAACTCAGTGGTCGGCAAACTCATTAGTCAGCAGAGCCAAATATCAACAGTACGACAATTGAAATTTCTTTTGAGAGCCAGATTTTTAAAACTTAAACTATATAGGTAGGTACAGTGTTAGTAACTTAATTAGGGTACTCCTAAGGCTTAGGGAGAGCCACACTCAAGGGGCCAAAGAGCCACATGTGGCTCATGAGCCGCAGTTTGCTGACCACGGAACTAATGCCCTTGTTTTAAGGATTGTGGTGACTAGAAGATCCTATGGCAGCACAGAGAAGGGGCCTGTGAGCCAACCTGTGTGGAGGGCGTGGGCAGGCATGGGAAGGGCAGACCTGAGCTAAATGTTGGAGGGTGAACAGGAAGTTGCCAGATTGGGGTATTGGGGGCAGTGGGCACAAGAGGCAGAGATCCGGTCAGGAGAGCCATTCCATGGCGATGGTGAAGAAGTTGGAGGTTGTCCCATGGGTGATAATTCCTAAAACACCTGTTAGATCATGTCCCTCCTCCATGCATCTCAATCAGAGCAAAAGCCAATCTTTATTGCCTCAGTGGTCAGAGCATCAGCCCGCACACTGAAGGGTTGTGGGTTCAATTCCCAGTCAAGGGCATGTACCTGGGTTGCAGGTTTGATCCCCAGCTCCGGTGGGGATGTGTGCAGATCGATGTGTCTCTCACATCGATCTTTCTCTCTTTCTCTCTGTCTGTCTCTCCCCCTCCCTTCCACTCCCCCTAAAAAAAAAAATCAGTGGAGTCCTAACCGGTTTGGCTCATTTGATAAAGTGTCAGCCTGCGGACTGAAGGGTCCCAGGTTCGATTCTGGTCAAGGGCATGTACCTTGGTTGCAGGCACATCCCCAGTAGGAGGTGTGCAGGAGGCAGCTGAATCGATGTTTCTCTCTCGTTGATGTTTCTAACTCTCTATCCCTCTCCCTTCCTCTCTGTAAAAAAATCAATAAAATATATTTTTTAAAAACCAATCCCTGTAAACCAGCAGTAGTACATCCTTCCAGGGATCGCAGATTGGAGAGGGTGCAGGCTGGGCTGAGGGACATGCCCTTGACCGGAATCGAACCTGGGACCCTTCAGTCTGCAGGCCGACGCTCTATCCACTGACCCAAACCAGAACAGCAGTAAAAATATTTTTTTAAAAATGAATGAAAAAAATATCCCCGGGTGAGGAGTAACAGCAACAAAAAGTCAGTCTTTATTGTGAGCTCAATGCCCTCATGATTTGGCCCCTTGTTACCTCTCTGATCTTATCTCCTATCACTTTCCTTACTGTCACTCTGCTCCAGCTACACTGTTCCTCAATCAGTCATGCCAGGCACAGTTCTACCTCAGGGCCTTTGCACTGGCTCTGCCCTCTGTCTGCACTGCTCTTGCCTCAGACAACCGCACAGCTCACTCTTTCACGTCCATCAGGGCCCTGCTTATATGCCGTTTCTTCAAAAAGACCTTCCCTGGCCACCACATCTAAAACAGCACCTTTTACTATTGTGCTGCAGCTTCCTTCCTAGCATATATCTCTACCTGAAATGATAGTATATATTTATAGTATGCTTTTCCCACTACAGTGTCACCTCCCCAAGGGAACAAATCTGTGTCTTGTTCGCTGTTATGTTTGCAGCCCCCAGCACTGTGCCTGGCACAGAGAGAGTGTTCACTCATTGTTTGCTGGTTGAGCCATGAGGAGCCACGGAAGTGTTTTAGTGGGAGAGCAAAATACTCAGGTTTTTACTTGGGAAAGCTCTGTGTGGCCACAGGATGGAGAGAGGATTGGACAGTGTGGTCACAATTTAGGTGAGCCCTAGCTGGTTTGTCTCGGTGGATAGAGCATCAGCTACAGACAAACGGGTCCCAGGTTCGATTCTGGTCAAGGGCACCTGCCTGGGTTGCGGGCTTGGTCCAACCTGCAGAAGGCAGCCAATCAATGATTCCCTCTCATCAATGTTTCTCTCTCTTCCTCTCCTTTTCTCTCTGAAACCAATAAAAATATTTTTTAAAAAAAATTTAGGTGAAAGGCCCTAGCTGGTTTGACTCAGTGGATAGAGTGTTGGCTCACAGACTGAAGGGTCCTGGGTTCGATTCCGGTCAAGGACACATACCAGTTGCGGGCCCAATCCCCCGCCCTTGAGCCTTGGTCTGGCGCATGCGGGAGGTAACCAATGGATTTGGCTCTCTCACATCGATGTTTCTGTCTCTCCCCGTCCCTTCCACTCTCTCTAAAAATCAATGGAATAATATCCTTGGGTGAGGATTAACAAACAAAAAATTTAGTTGAAAGGACTTGCCTGTCCTCACAGCTAATAAGCCTGCCAGAGCTCATTCACTAACTCCCTTACTCTGGAAGTTTTTATTGAGCACCTACTCTGCTCCAGGCCTTGTACTCTATGTTCGTTAGGAGATTACCAAATTCTCTTCTTGGGCTGGGATTCTGGGAGTCATGACCATAAGTAGCTGTCACGCTTTGCCAAAACTAACCTGCACCATAAAAAGGGGGAGCTCAGCCTCACCAGTTTGGCTCAGTGGATAGAGCATGGTCCTGCGGACTGAAGGGTCCCAGGTTCGATTCCGGTCAATTTTCTCAGATTGCAGATGGCGGAGATGATAGGGCCTGCATTCCAGGTGAAAGGTACTGTATGTGCAGCTTTGGCGGTGGGAAGCAGAAGAGTATTGGGGAGAAACAGGATCCGGGCCAGGCTGGACGGAGGGGTGGCTGGGGGAGGGGACCGGCACTCAACTCTGCATGGTTTAATGTTGAAGAGTGAGCTCTGGAGTCAGACTGCCTGGACTTGGATCCTGGCTCTGTGAATAGCTGCGTGTGATCACAGATATGTTCCTTAACCTCTCTGGGCCTTGGCTTCTTGATGTGTAACATGAGGATAAATAACAACACCTATTGCATAGGGTTGTTTGGAAGAGTAAACAAGTTACTAACTGTGAAGTCGTAAGAACAGTGGCTGAACTTGCTCTGAGCTCTCTAAACATTAGCTATTACCTTGGGAGAGAACTCCAATGCCACGATAAGGAACTTGGGCTATCTCTTGTGAGCAGTGGGGGCTATGGATGGTTCATGAACAAAGGCAACAGTTTATTGGAATTGAGCTGGGGTTATGTACTGGGAGACAGAGGTTTGAGAGGTGGTGGGCAAGATTCTGCAGTCCTGAGGGGGAGGGAAGGAGCATCTTAGATGCCTGGGGTAGGGGCCAGGGGCTGGGCAGAGTCTGACTCCTGGAGGGGGACGTTCCAGGCCCCTGAGGTCCAGGAGGAGAGAGAATTTGGGGTAAAAGGCAGCCCCCCAGTTTGTTTCCTCCTGGCTCCTAGTCGTGCTGCAGACTGCTGCTTGGGAGGGAGGAAGATGAACAGTGGGCGGGAGCTAAACCCCTGAAGCCCAGGACCTGGCCTTGCGGGTGCAGCTTCCCCACTGAGCCCAGCACCCAGCCCAAAGTGCTCTTCTGCAGAGCTGCCAGGCCTGCTGCAGCTCCAGCTCCTGCACTGGTAGGGAGCCCGCCACACCCACCTCAGCTCTCCTCTGCCCTGTGCCCTGGCCTTTGCCAAGTAGGGTCTGGGGAGTGGCCCTTTCACCAACCAAGAGCCCCCTCAACCCTGTGCCTGCCCAAATCAGACCATTACCTGGGCCCAGCCACACCCATTTCCCCCAACCACGACCCTCTCCAGGCCTCACCAGATCTTACTCTTAATTCTCCCCCCTGTTGGCCAACCTCTGTGGCTCCTCACAGTGTCCTCTGGGCTCTGAGCGGCTGGGCTCTGTCGCCACCTGGGTTCCCTGGCAGCCTGGTTGTCATGGCACCATGGAAGCAGGTCTGGTGGAACAACAGCTCTGGGTAACCAGGGCAGGCAAGGCCCAGTGCCTAGCTCCTGCCACTCTTCCGCCTTGAGACCCCTGTGTCCCTCCCCCAGCTGAGCAGAGAAGGCCATGAGGAGAAAAAGGAAGCTGCCCCGGAGGGCAGCTCTTTACCTGTGAGGATGCTGCATGGGAAGCGACTCCCACTGTCACTGAGCCCTGTGCCCTGGCAGCCAGGGAACTCTGGGAAGTGGCCAGGCCCAAGTCCAGGCCTCTAAGGGCAGGGGTGAGGCTTCAGGGGGCGGGGCTGGGCAAGGAGGGGAGAGCGTGGATACCTGGATGCCAGGAGTGGGCCTGGGGCTGGGACAGGGCTGATCTGGGGTGGTGCTGGGGACAGACCTGTGAGGGGAAGAGGTCTGGGGGGAGGGGAGCTATAAGGGAAATGGCCCATCAAGGTGGATTTGGAGGTGGAGCTGTTAGGATAGGATTATTAGGAAAAAAAGGGGGCTTGTGGGGACAAGACCAGGAAGAAACAAGTCTGGTAAAAAGTCGGGGGGAGGGGGGACGTGGCCCTGAGGGGACCAGGCAGCGAGGGGTGAAATGGGACTGCAGACAAGACTGAGAAGACCACACCCTAAGGGAAAGGAGTCGAAGGATGGAGCTGTGAGCGGGGATAGGGGCTGTGAGGGGAGAGGGCCCGTGAAGATAGAGCTGTGAGCAGATGGGGCTGAAGTGGAATGAGGACAGGCTGTGAAGGCAAGGGGGCCTGAAGGGAAGGGAGCATGAGGGCAGTGAGGGGCAGGTAGGACTGTCTAGCTTGGGGGCAGGTAGGACTGCTTTCTGGCCTTTAAGTATTGGGGTCCCTGTATCTGTGAAGAAGCCGAGGGGGATGGGGTTGCGGAAGGGATTTGGTCCACATGCTCAGTCTGGCCCAGCAGGCATCCTTTGTTCCCACATCCTGGCTTATCTTATCTAATCCCCACAGTGTGGAGGGTGATGCCCCAGGCAGTGACCTGAGCACAGCGGTTGATAGTCCTGGGAGCCAACCCCCCTACCGGCTGAGCCAGCTGCCCTCCAGCAGCAGCCATATGGGGGGTCCCCCTGCTGGGGTGGGCCTTCCCTGGGCTCAGCGGGCTCGCCTCCAGCCAGCCAGTGTGGCCTTGAGGAAGCAGGAGGAGGAGGAGATAAAGCGCTCCAAGGCCCTGTCGGACAGCTACGAACTCTCCACGGACCTGCAGGACAAGAAGGTACAGAGGACATGGCTCTGCTTGGGAGTGGGAGTAGGAATGGGGCTATGAGGGGACCAAGGGAGGGGTTGGGATGTGGCACTTGAGGGCGATATGCTTAGAGGGATAGTGAGACTGGAGGGGGAGAAGACTGGCTCCAGGACCCTTCACCCTATTGGGGCCTCATTCACCACCTATTCACCAATTTCTACACCCTCAGCAGATACTGATTCAGCTCCCTGCTGGGCACTGGAGATGTAAAAATGAATGGGACCTGGATCCTGTTCTCAAAAATCTGTCTGATGGGAGAAGCACACACTTAAGTTGACAATTTCAGAAGAATATGCTACAATATATCACATATACCACACAAGGTATTGCTTAGCTAAAGGGAAGGGCACAAAAATACTACATATAGAAAAAAAACCCTGGAAGGACATATACTAAAATTTTAATTGTGTTTATGCCTAGGTGTTGGGACTTTAAGTGAGCCAGCCATCTGTTTCCTTCCTTCCTTCCTTCCTTCCTTCCTTCCTTCCTTCCTTCCTTCCTTCCTTCCTCCCTTCCTCCCTTCCTCCCTTCCTTCTTTCTTTCCCTCTCTCTCCCTCCATATCCTCCCTCTCTCTCCTCCCTTCTCATTCTCTCTCTCCCTCCTTCATCTCCTTCTAGCTCTCAATTTCTTTCTTTCGTTCTTTCTTTCTTTCTTTCATTTTTATTGAATTTATTGGGGTGACACTGGTTAATAAAATTATAGAGGTTTCAGTTGCACAATTCTGTAATACATAATCTGTGTCCTATATTATGTGTTCACTACCCCAAGTCATGTCTTCCATCACCCTTTATCCCTCCTTTACCCTCTCCTATCTCCCCCAGCTTTTCCCT